TTTGCCCTGAAAAAGCGCCATGTTCCCAATCGAATAGGGTATCTACAAGGTTTGTTGGCACTGAAATCCCTATCCCCGGCAGAAAGCCGTGATGTCCCTTAGCTTTGATCCTATATAAGCAGATATTCGATACAGCATGACCACTCCAGGTTTTCTTAGAACTTCTTCGAACTGTCCTCCGATGGCAAAAAAAGTGAAATCACCGCAACTACTTTATTAATGGAAAAAAATCTAAAAGCAACAAACAATACATGACGAGCATATAACAAGAAAAACTGCTATGGTCGTGTATGATCTCTCAAGTCTGACAGAAAATGTTGAGATGCCTTCAGAACCTTGTCGGTCGCCCGTGGTTTTGGACCGTTGCTCTACTAGGTTGCTGGACTTGTCTAGCTCTACCGCTAGTGGTCAAAGCGGTGCAGACTGCTCGAGCACAGAAGGTACCCGACCTGTAAAACAACGATTGTGCGGACCATGGATAGGGGTATTCCCATGAGACAGCGGCAAATGAGCCAATCACCCTGGAGGGCATTATTTCGGGTCGCAAATGTTAACAGGATACTAAGTAGTAAGGACCCATGGACGAGAACAAAAAATGGAGGTTATGGGTTACACCACAACCGGAGGGCAAGATCACTTATGGGTATGGAATCATCGATTACGCCATCTACCAGGGAGAACATTGGACATGTTCGACCGACCAACTAGTTTCGAATCACATGTTTAAAAAGGGTAGTTTCAACATCAACTTCTAAGAACGTAAAAATAAATAACAAGCATTCCCAACAGAGCTATTGATTTTCGAACAAACAAAGCAATTCACAAAAAACGTTATAAACCCACACAGAATGAGGATGCAACAGCGAGAATAGATCGGAAGCAGAGGAGGGAAATCGCACTCATTGGGATGGAGGAGGTGGAGGTGGCGGAGGAGCTGGAGCAGATAATATACGAGACAGGTCGGCTTGTGGTGCTGGTGGAGGTTGGTGGAGGAGGTGCTGGGAAACCACCCACTGGTGGAGGCGGTGGCGGTGGCACGGGCATCGTTGTCGCGCCCACCATCCGGAGTAGTCTCTGAAACTTCACACTTTCAGAAAGAGATCTGAGATATATATACCATTTTCACTTCAAATTCACCACTTTTCAAAGCAAATTCACCACTTTTCAAACCAAATTCACCACTCTTCTTAGACCAGGCAGTTCACCAACCAAATCACGCCAGACACCACCGCGAACCCTGCCCCGACGGTCACGCCTACTTGTCAGCGCGGACATAGATTTTCAACACATGACTGACTCCGCCCATTCTTTAAAGTTTGTTGCGAACTTCAAATCTTCATAACTTTTTCAATTTTTAATTTCACATCCACTCTTCGCACAACGAAGGTACTCGTAGACGCGCATTCATGCTCCGCCCCCTTGGCCACGCCCACTTGCTTTTTGCGGAATTTTGATATTTTTTCAAAATTTTTGCATTTTTGGACTGCTCCATGAAGTCCCGCCCACTGTGAGAGGCTCCGCCCACTTTGAAGAAGCCTCGCCCACTTTTCAAAAATGGTGCTAATCGGCAGTATAGAGCCTTGGCTTGCATGCTAGGGCCTCGTCCGTCACTCGGAACAAACTTTGCCTGATTAATTTGTGCAAAGTGCATAGCCAACTCAAATAGACCAGCCCTTACCTGTTCACTGTGCTTCCTTCAGAATTCAAAGGAATTTAATCCTTCGGACGAGTCATCGAGAAGCGCTCACCAGTTCCTCCCTTGAACGATTCTCTAAAACACTGACGACTGTGAAGACAGCATCAACGGTGAGCATAAACTAGAGTGATAAGGAGGGGTTAAGTGTGAATTTACAAGAGCGGCATCGTGCGCGTTGACTCAAGAGAGTCGACCCGCGGTGCCATGTAAGGTGTATCATGCCTTGCTGAAAACCGTGTCTTTGGAATCTTTGAGAGGACACATTTCTATGTACGCGTATGCGTGTACATTGAAATGGATGTGTTTGTTGTATGGGTGCATGGGGTATGTGTAAATATGTTAATATTTCTAGGGAGGGGTTTCAGAAAGAAAAACGATTGTAGTTGGGGAAAATTTTCACACAAGCCGATGGGATGCCGTACACCTTCTCACTGGATAGCTACCGATTACGGCTTCATTACAGCGCACGAGGAACACTCAATAGAGTTTGGACTCAGTAGAGCACCGAAAGAGCGGAGAACAGATGAAGCTCCGACCCCAAGAAAAATCCTTTTCACTCACTCAGACCCTCCAAGAGGAAGAATTAAAAAGAACTGCTAAAACCCTACGAAGCGGTCTTAAAGGCAGCGCCCGCGTTCATTTATTGTTTCCACGCCCTCTTTGCATATCGTAGCTCACCCTATGAGGATGTTGGACGTACTAGTTTCGCAACTCAAAAATGCGAGAGAATAGCCTTGTTGAGAATCGGCCACCCCGCCCACCTGGCGACCACTATGCCCAATTTCATTTCAAATGGTTGCCTGATGGTGCGGTTGTTCCGCTGCTGCTTCTCTCCACGTCGAGTGGTGAGAGTGAGGTGATAAGGGAAAACAGCTGATATCAACAAGTGAGAACTCGTGCGCCGCCTTCTCTTCGCCTTGAGCACGTACAACCTCAGCTCGGCGTGGGGTCCTATATAGGGCATATCCGATGATTTTTTTTGCATTTTTCTTCACTAGTGAGCTACGTGCTACCTTGTTGTCAGTGTCTAAGCCCCACAACTCCGAATTGAACGCGAGCGCTGCCTTAATTAGGTGCAGTTAGTTGAGGGACTCAGAGAGAATCACAACGGAGCAAGAAAAACTGCTCAGACTTTCACATGGCCTTTTCATTCCATGCGAAATTCGGTGACCAGAGAGAGATGAAGCTGCGGTACCTGTTGATCGTGTTTCCATCCCATGGATCTGTATTCAGGCTGGAATGGTCTATTGGGCGGGTCACTGGGTATCTTTCACCGATCCCACCTCTGTAGGATTCCCTGAAACAAATCAATAATGCTGACGGCCAAAGTCAGTCTAAAAGAGGGTGCATTCCAGTTTGATAGGGGCATCAACTGGTATTAACGAATGTTGTAAGTATGTTTGTGATCACCTTCATATCCCTGTTGATTAAAGTGGTGCATTTGCACCGCTTCCCGAGAAACTGCTCGTTGACTGGGACTACCAAAAGTTGGAATGCCCTCCTTCCTCTCTCGTGACAGAACAGAGTTCGTGAGCCGCTGCTACCGTAACCCACACTTCTCCAAGGATCATCATCATCCTAGACGGAGGCTCGCGCGCGAAACGCACCTTTTGCACCAGACCGTGGAATCAGTGTGGCCGGAGGTGGGATAATGGCAAATGAAACTCCCCCAAACTCGAAAAATAAAGCCAGCACGCGAATTACGGTAGCAGCGATTACTTGCATTGCGAAATCGTTCCTGCTGCCCAGGTCGAACAGCTCCCAAATGAGAATGCAATGTTACGGTACCTGTTGGTCGTGCTCCCATCCCAAGGATCTGTATTCCTATCAATCTGATCTTTCGGAGGAGTAGCCGTGAATCTCTCGCCAACTCCACCTGTGTATGTTTGCCCGGAACAATAATGTATCGGCGAGAGAAACAATATGCCGAGGAGACTGCCGCACTGTACCTGTTGACTGTGTTCAAGTCTAAAGGATCAGAGTCTCCGCCAAAGTGATCACTCGGATGATATATTGGGAAAGTGTCACCTGTTCCTTCTCTATACGACTCTCTAAAGGGATAATGGTGATAGAAATCA